TATCGAAAGAAACTTGAAACTGGTGTCGAAAGAAACTACAAATTATTCTAATATAGATAGATAGCAGGAAAGTATCGAGTTACTGATACACCAAGCTGAAAGTTTTAATGTCAAAACTGGTATCGAAAGAAAACTGAAATCGGTGTTGAAAGAAACTACAAGTTATTATAATACGTATAGAATGAAAGTGTCGAGTTACTAATAAACCAAACGGAAAGTGTTAATGTTAAAACTGATATCGGAAGCAAATTGAATTATTATATATAATGTAAAGGTAAAAGAGGAGTCGAGATTATAATCTAATATCATTTGGTATCAGTTTGATATCAGTTTGGAAGGTTCAATACCAGAAATTACTAATGGAAATGTGTCGATCGATGTGAAAACTATGAAAGGATGATACCAGTATTAATAGAAAGTTATGAATAAACTGCATATTATTTAATTTAATATCGGTTCAAGCAAGGTATCAGTGTGGAAGGATCGATACCGGAACGAAATATTTATAACCTAAAAATGCCATCAATGTCTAACCTGAAAAAATATAATGTTTTCAATCTCAATAATTCGAATAGCATCCATTTGTCATTATATAGAGGAAACAGCACGTAAATGTTTACCTCAAAGTACAAAGTATTATCAATGTTTGCTAACTTTGCGGCCGGAGTCTCACTGAGTGCATTGTGTTCTACATAGAGCACAGCGTGTAAACACGTCGAGGATGAAAACCAATCAGAACTGCAACGAATGTAACCACGGGGTTAAGCGCAATTCTATTGGTTTTTCATCCTCGATACGTTGGCGCGTCGTACTCGGTGTGATCGTCGATCGTTGCAGGGCTGAGCGCCGTAGTTCATTATCATTCCGCGAGGGGTGCCATCGAATGTCGTACAAAAGTCGTATCAGGGTTGACCTGTCATGTGAGTGCGAAAATGGTAGTTCATGACTGGAGGAACGACGATGACGATATGAGAACAAGGATTCTGAGAGTGCCGAAAACTTTATCGTGCCATATCTTTACGTACATAGTAATCAGAGTCGAGTAAATTTAAAAAAATTCCTGATTTTTTGCTGAATTTTTTGAGTTGATCGAAAGTTTATTTCTTTATCTGTAGCAAAGAAGAAATTATATTTTCATTTCTTCCACTCCAGAAATCCTGATCCTTACTGTATATAACTCTGTAACGTCTCGCTCAAACTCAACGCGCAGGGCGCGTTTCTCGCATCGCTCAACGCTACGAGTTTCTCGCTCAAAAATGTATTTGGCTCAAAACTCTACCTAGTTTCTTGATTCCAGTCTAAACGATTACAATCACCCAGATAGAAATTGATGATTATCATGAGGAGGATCATGATCATAGAATGAGGAAAATCGATATACAAACAATTTGCAGGCCGTTTGCTGCATGAAATGTCCAATAAATGTACGCATATTACACAATAAGTTTTAACCAAAATTTTTTAAATCGTTGTAGCAGTACATTTATCGTAAACTCGAGTCATATGCCAGTTATGCCATAATCGACATTTATGATCTGAAAACTTAACAAGAGTATTGACGTTACTTTATGGACATTGTTTGAATTATGTTTCCATCACGCCATGACTCAAATATAAGCTACAGACGCTGCATTTTTTATCGGTAATACGTGAGATAAATTTAGTTGTACATATGCGGGCAAATATTGAGACATTGCAAGTACTTAACTTTGTTTTATATTTAAGTATTTTTGGTTCGTCATTGTGTACTGCAGATACGAGTTCGAAATGAGAACTTACAAACCACCCTCATAACCCATTTCATGATCTTTTTATTAGACAAATTTAATGAAAATTTTTGCAATATTTTGTCTATGTGGGCAATTATAAAATATAATCGATTCAATTACAATTCCAACAGAAGATAAGAATGATAACATGATTGGATTAACTGCTGTTTTAGACATTCGAGCTTAACCGTGTTCAGCAACTGGAGCATATGTTGGGCGAATGGAAGCAGATGCGATTCGAAATAATGAACGCAATGACAGCTCCTTCTGGAGAATTAGTAGATTTACGAGGGATCCCGCAGCGTACCAAATTAGCTGGATCAATCGTTAGCGGACTTTCTAATGTGGAAGTGGCATATTCTAAAGAACTACGGAATTACAACGATCACGTTTTGCGCGGAATAACTAGACCAAGCCTTTTCGTAGCTTTTTCTAAAGTGGCGGAGTCTTTTAATGACAAAAAGGTTTCTGACATATGGCAGATGGTGAAGTGTCTGGTTGAAATACCGCCAACTCCACGAGGAGACCAGATAAAATCCCGAAGTAGCACTATTGTCCAACAGAAAATTGTTAATCAAGCTAGAAAATACCTTGAAAACAGATACCGGGATTTTATGAATTCTGTAATAAGTGAAAACTTGGTGCAAGCCAAACGTGGAGGCATTCCAGGAACGTTGCCATTAGTGAAAAGTTTCGTAGGTGTGAAATTACTAGTCACGAGAGATTTAGAAGACGTACGAGTTGACGATAAACCTTTATGGCCTCTGGTTTACTATTGCATGAGATGTGGTGATTTTAAGGCTGCCTTGCAATGTCTAGAACAGGTTGATACAGCCTTTCAAGAGTTCAAATCGGCTCTTGAGGAAGCGGCCGATGACCCGCAACGCAAACCAAGTAGTCGAGCAGAATCCATTTTGAAATTACACTACAGGAAGCATGTTCGGTCGGCGACAGATCCATACAAAAGGGCTGCGTATTGCGCTTTAGTACCCTGTGAACCTGATGATCTTCACTCTGAAGTAATGTCTACGGCCGATGATTACCTTTGGTTGAGGTTATGTCAGGTCAGAGATCAACCTGATGGAGAAAACAAATTAACCTTGGCTCATCTGCAAACTACAATTTCTGAGATTTATGGTAAGTCTTCCAACAATTAATCAAAATACTTTATCATCTATTAAGGCTTGGATCCATGAGCAAGTACAATTTGCGAAAGCTGTTCTCACATAATTCTTGCTGGTTGTGTACACGGTTTTGAAAGCGAACTTACTCAAATGTATTAGTTGTGTATATGCAAATTCAAGCTGTTCTAGAAAAAAATGTCGCAAATTACTAGTCCGTGGATACGAGTCTCAAGTCTCATTCAATTATTATAAAAAATAGTATCCTAAGTTGTCAACCTTTTTCAGGCGAATCTTACTATCATGCTCATGAACAACCGTTTTTATATTTTTCGATGCTCTTTTTAACTGGGCAATTCGAGTCTGCAATTGAATTCTTAGCAAGAGGGGCTGGAGCAAGACATTTGCCACATGCGGTACACTTGGCTGCCGCTATGCACGAACATGGTTTACTTGCAGTAAGTCAAAGTGTTCTAGCACCGCTGATCAGCGTAGATCCTATTGATGAGCCCCCAGCAAAAAGGTTGAATTTTGCACGGCTTATCCTGCTCTACGTTAAGAGATTCGAATCCTCCGATCCGAAAGAAAGTCTCCAATATTTATTCCTTTTAAGGTATGTTGTAATGTTTCATTTTATGTGCTCTCTGTAAAAAAGACCCGACTCCTCCGATATGAAACAAAGCCTTTAATATTTTTCCTTGTAAGGAATCTGTTAATGTTTCACTTCACGTGAATAATCCGTGTACTTCTTCAATTACCATTTTTCTAGAAATTACAATTATATAGATCTTGTAATTGAATTTGTATAGTACTTCAATGAGATCCCTATTAATCAATTTGACTGGGCGTAGATGAGTTGATGAAGTTAGAGTTTTATTGGATAATAGGAACCTATTATGAAATTTCCGGAACCACGTTTATTTTCAAAATCGTTATCTTATATACTTAATTGCAGACACATGTACAAAGTGTCCCAACACTTCCAGAATCAACCTACATAAGTCGATGAGTAAAAATATCGAAAACATCTGTAACAATTTAATTTTTCGATCATTACTTTTTTTGTTTTTGACGCACTCAGTTGGAAGATAAATATTACCCTCAAAGCACCTTCGGTGTACAAAAATTTAGCCAAATACATTCATCTTGTGACGAGTCGTTTAGCCCGAGCCCTGAGCAACAATGCGTACGTACGAGAGTCGCTGCGCGCGCGCGCGGCGGTCGACGACTCCAGGTTTCCCGCAAGCGAGCGGAGACGAGCAGGGTGTATAAAGCCGCGGACCGGACAAAGAAACGGAGTTCTTAGAAGGAACGAAACCCGATAAGAGATAACTCCATTGGATTTGCAGGACGAGACTTCGGATCCGGACTGCGCAAATTAAACGCAGACAACCAACGCCAGGAGACGACGCGACTCCGAATGTACGGACCGCCTGGTCTCCTTCTCTGACTGGCTTGCACGAACTATAGGGCGACCCCGTAGATTCTAACACTTAGCTCTTTTTGGATCACCCCCATGGATATTAACTCACCGCACCACGCGCGCTAAAGATTAGGGACACCCCGTAGAAACTAAGACGCTTCACTGCTCCGCATGTAAACGCCACGCATCTATCTGGTCAAAATCGCACGGCTTGCTTTGCTTTCAGGCCGCGTAGAACGGACTCCGGCCGCCCAGACAGCACTCCTGGTACCGTCATCACCGGACCAAATAAATTAGTACATTAATTACACACACCGCGTTGTCACTCCACCCAGACCTTAACACTGGCGCAGCTCCAACGCTCCAAGCGGACTATTCTCGCACGAGGCCGCCACCTAACCTACGCGCCTCGTGTCTATCATTACAATTTTTATTCAAGTAATTGCAAAAACAGCTCAAATAGCTCCTTTTCCATGAAAAACTCAAATCAACTATTTTTGTCAAATATAGTAGCATATTCATTCCGTTCAAGTACCAGCTAAAATCTTTTGCCACATGTTACGGTACATTTGGTTTCACGTATGTTGTATGTACAAGATTATCTGTTTCCTCAAACCGAAGACAAATATTAAAAACTATATCGACACAAATAAAAAAATTAGAAACTAAATTTGAAAACAATATTTTATTTCGCGAGCAGCCGAGGTATACTCCTAGCATATGAAAATTTTGGTGCTCGACAAATAAGTCTTCGGTTTGAGGAAACAGATAATCTTGTACATACAACATACGTGAAACCAAATGTACTGTGACATTTGGCAAAAGATTTTAGCTGAGACTTTAATGGAATGAATGTTCTACTATATTTGGTGAAAATAGTTGATTTGAGGTTTTCATGGGAAGGGAGCAATTTGAGCTATTTTGGTAATTAATTGAATAAGGATAAACGTGTTTGGCTAAATTTTTGTAAACCGGAGATGTTTTGAAGGGATTGTGAAATCATTTTTGTAAAAAAAATGTTAATGTCTCTCTTATTAATAATAAAATCGGCACATTTATCTGATACATTCCTATCATGTCAAAATATAATTACTATAAACATATAATTTGATAAAAAGTTACTAAAAGTATGTATATTTCGTATACGCAGTATATATAAATATATTTTTTTATATAACACTCAACATTTTTAATGACATCATAATTTATCCCTCAATGTAAATTTTGAAATTCTAGTATCAAATTTGGATTTGGCGACCACAAAAACTGTGAGAAACCCATTTTTATAAAAATCCATACATTTCTACATTTTTATCATATTAGGACGACTATTTTCAATTACTAATTTGTTACGTGGGGGTCGAGCGGATGCGAGGCCGGGCAAATTCGGGTAGGGATTGCCTGGATTTCGCGCATAACGAATATATTAATCTTGTGAGGAGATTGACCCGAGCGGCTAGATCAACTCTTCTGGTGGGATCTACGGAAGTGAGGACTGGCAGAGGGTCTGAATGAATGGCAATGTGGCCCAGTATGCTATGATTGTTGTATTTATTTGTCAGTGAGGTTTAGTTCATAATCAGCTGGGAAGAGCACCCGAGGTGCCTCTACCTAATTTTCTGTGGGTTATTATACTTCCGCGTTGCGGCGGTTGGAGTGTCGCGATAGCGCGATTTAGCGGCGGTAGGTTACTGAACGCCCGGAGTGCTGATGCAGGGATACTTTGCAGTTAGAATGGCGGACGATGCGTGATTCTAATCAATCTCGCGATGCTGAGATTTCGAGCTCAGCTATTCGAAGTGAGTTAATGAAATCTTATTCTATCCAGTTAACCGTAGCAAGGCATGGAAATCGCGATAATGGTTAGAATTCGATTTGATCGGAGATGGGGTGTTAAGAAGTAAACTAGAATGAAATGAACATGAGTCGTGCTTACAAAGGATCCTCTACCTGGCTTAATCAGCGGCCGAATTCCATGACACTCTTCTTTGATTAACCCAGCCGGATGACTCCGCGTGCACATCGTCCCGTAGCATGCCCTAGGGTTGGATGTCTCTTAGAAGCCTCCCGTCCAACGGAAGTCGCAGTGCCGCCGTGTCTTTCCGACTCAGTGCGCTGGGATCACTGGATTACCGGATGGCACTACTGCGGCTTGCAGGATAGATGGCCTACGACAAGGAGTCTGGCGGTCTCGGTCTTTGACTTGCTAGGAACGGAGTACCGAAGACCAGGAGCTCCACTCAAAATCGTCGACGGATGTCGACGTTGACTAACTTGAAAATACGCACTGGACTAACTAACTGCCCCTCTGGTTTTGTAGTTGTCCGTTTCATTGTCAGGATGTTCCAGTTGATGGGAGGTCCTAGGGTCCAGGTGAGGGTGGGTCGTACTGATGCGCTGTGTAGTCATCAGATTGTTCGTTTCGGGTCGATCGATGACTTTTGGAATCGTCTTGGCCGATGAACTTGTCGTGTCAGGTAGCCTAGTTCTGGGTCCTTTCACAAGGGTTTCTTAATCTCAATCCCGTACTCGGATTTCCATGGTTAGCTTCCGGTGATCGAATATCTTTTTACTAGACTAGGGTACTAAGGGTGCTTATGTAACAAATTTCTGTTTCCAGAATTGAATTTTGCGACCTCGTAGATCTTGGATAACTCGTTTTTTTTTTAAATAAAAATGCAACAATTTTGTAATTTCCTGTCCGCCATTTTGATTTTCGGAATTTTGTTGGCAGATTTGGATTCAGCGGGCACGATTCAGCACTACCGTGAGAAACTGATTTTTATTGAAATCAACCATTTCTACATTTTTATCCACCATTTTGGATTTTAACATTTTGTTTATATATTTGTAGTCAATGACTAAAGATTTGGGAGAAACAATTTTTTCGAACAAAAATCTAACAATTTTTAAATTTTGTGTCCACCATTTTGAGTTTCAAAATTCTGTTACCAGATTTGGATTGTTACGGAAGTAGGCCCTATTTTTCAAGAACCTTATAAATTCACCAGTTCACTAACCTTAGACAGAGCTGCCGATTCAAAGATGCAATTCTGCAGAATCGGCAGGGCAACAACCGGCGTTTGACCGCGCACGGCGACGTCTTATGTCAAAGTCCGTCGACCCGACTCGCGACCGACGCTCTATTGACAGTATATAAACACCCGAAAACAGCGTCGAGGGGGCTTGGAAGACGTTTGACCACCGTTCGGTAAAGACGTGTCCTCGGGACTTCCCGACTGTTAGAACTCTGTCTCGGTGTAGGGAACTGATCGGACTTACGCATCGACAGCCACCGTACATCCTTAGGGAGACCGAACAGGTGGGTTATCACACAATCTGAAGATAGACTCAGGACAGATCCGTGATCCTAGGGCGTAGATTTTTCCCAAGTACCCATAAATTTTAATTTCATTCCTAATGAAGAAGATCGTTCCACGCGAATTAGCCTCTATTGCGTTACTCTCAATCTTCAATTCGTATTAAATAATACGTAAGCTTGTATCCATTGTAAATTGTTTGTTGTTAATTACACTTAGTCTATACTTGCTATTTCATTCAATTGAAAATCCTCTATCCAGTCTTTCCTGAAGTACGATTACAAGGGTACGAATCAGTAAGGTGTGCAAAGCACCTTGAAAGAGTAACGAATCCCCGATAAGAATATTCCAGCCGCTCGGGATATTCTTTCAACGTTCCCTCTGCATCGTTTCCAGCGTCAATACGAGGAGAGTATACTCGGGATACAGAATCCTCGGTCAAGATCCTAACGACCATTTTTCTTCTCGAATCTCTCACTCTCAATTTCGTCATAGAAATTCAGAACCGTCGCTGCAGGCTCCGGTTACGTAACAGAATTTAGCGACCTCAAAAATCTGCAAAACTTTTTTTTTTTTTAAGAAAAATATAACCGTTTTGTAATTTCGTGTCCGCTATTTTGAATTTCGAAATTATGTTGTTAGATTTGAATTCAGCGTTCACGAATACCGTGTCAAACTTATTTTTATCAAAATTCAACCATTTATATATTTTTATCCGCCATCTTGAGTTTCAAAATTCTGTTACCAGATTCGGATTAAGCGGTCATCAAAAACCACGCCAAACCGTTTTTTATATTAATGCAGTCATTTTGAAATTATATTATTAGCCATATTCGATCAGCCATTCTGATTTTGATATTCGCATTCTGTTGTCATATTTGAATTCAGCGATTCCAAGATTCTAGAGAAATATTTTTTTCTTATAAAAATCATTTGATTTTTATAAGAAAAAGAGACAGTCTGAAATTTTTTATCCGCCATATTGGGTCCGCCATTTTGAATGTTGAATTTTAAAATCAATTAATAGTAGGTTTACTTTTCCCCTCTCCCGGGTCGGTGACAGTCGGATCTTGGATCCTATAAAACTGCGAAAATGCAAACCTCGACCGAAATATGGGGCTGTCGTGACATGGCAAAAATTTACCACGTCACAATACATAACAAAAAATCAAAATATTTATAAAATTTTTCTCTAAACTGGGTGCACCGAATTATTTGAAACTTCATCACGAGATTATGGAGGCCCTAAGGAAGAACGCGCTGCTAATGAAATTTCTTTTTTCGAAAAAAATGTTATACTTATCTCGGAGAAGAACCAAGAAAAGATATTTTTTTTCGTAAAATGAAATTTCACAGGCAGCGCATTCTTCCTTGGGGCCTCCATAATCAGGTAATAAAGTTTTAGAAAAGTTTGTGCACCCAGTTTGGAGAAGAGTTTTGTAAATATTTTGACTTTTTGGGATGTATATATCACACTTTCATATCACCTTAAGATTACGTGAAAGTGGTGTCGAAGAGGTCTCGTTTGTAAAACTTTTCTGAACTGGGTATACCAAACTGTTTTATATTTTACCACATGAATATGAATGCTATAAGGAAGGCCTTAACAACCATGAAATTCCATTTTTTTTTTAATTTGTTTACGGATACTTTTAACATTTTATGTAACAAATTAAATTTCATAGTTGTCAAGACCTCCCTTATAGCCTCCACATTCATTGTAATGTTTGCAACGATCTGGTACACCCAGTTCGAAAAAAAGTTTCATGAACTATTGACAATTGAATGTCACTTTCACATCCCTTTAATGTCAAGACTGACTGATTCGAGACTGACAATTCGAAGTATCATTTAAGGTTTTGAAGAGCAAGAGTTTGTTGAATGACACTTTGAATGGTTGGTCTCCAGAGAATATTTGTGACATTATAATGTCGGTGATGTTCTCTTTCTGTCAGCAACATGAACTACTTATGTTTCAAATAAAAGTGCATTTGAAGGCCTTGAGGCTTCCACGTTCCTTTTCTACGAATCGGGGCTTCCGGGTGATAGCTCATCTTCGGCTCGTATCGCAAGGTCACGCCGAACATTAAAAGACCCACTTTACCTCTTCGGTACACAATGAACTCTATCTCAAATAGTTACTTCAGTGTCACCAAAATCAGTGTGGTTATAACTACAACGTGTCACCTCATATACGCACAAAACTATACTCTGCAGACTTTTGAACGAGATCTGTCATTTCATAAGTTTATTTTAGTTTTTAAATTTATATTTCGCCCCAATCCACGATGAAATTAAACCTCAATGTAACAGTTTCGGGACCATTTTCATATACACAACGTGAGCTTTCTTCTATCACTCATACTCAATTTTGAATATTTATTGTGAAACACAAGAACAAAAGTAGTGACGAACCCGGATTAGTAATATTGATAAACATTGCGAATTACCTTGTTTCTTTTTTTTTTTAAATCAAGGGACACAAATGAAAAGAGTTCCGATACTTTGGAAGCAGTATTATTTCAAAATTTGCAAAGAAAATACTAAGCTATCATACATTGTTGAACTAGCTTTGATTAACAATTTAATGGGGTGAAGTAAAAAAGACACAATTCCGTTAAAAAAAAAACATTGATGACGAGTTGATAACTCTGTCAAAAATTACCTTAGAACTAGGCTTTACTTGTTGTAACCCTTTCGGTACAGCGGTTGGCTTCACCAAAGCGCCGCCACCTAACGGGACCTCACGTCAAAAGTATACACATTACGACTGTAGACAGCTCGTTTCTGAACATTGTTTTGCAGATGCTGACTATAGCCATCATTGCAAGTCATTTCGTGAATGCCGGTTATTCGCCGTTCATATCTAGGGGTTGTTTTGTGGATATATTGGCTATAGCCGGCGTTGTGGGCGAAAAGGTTAAATGTGGCCTGCAATACCCTTCTAGTTAAAAACATTTTCACATATCTTGAAATCTGAGGCAGATATTCAGGTGTTTAGTTTTAAGTAGACCACTTGGTTTTTGTGCATGCAGTATCACTTAACAACTACAGAACACTCAACCTACTATAAAGTGCACACTTATAATTTTTTTATTTTTTGTCATAATAACTATTTCTTTTAGATGCATGAAGGATCCTTACGAAAGAAACATGTTTGCTGCTTCGGCAGCGGAAATGGTTGTTGAAGCAACATCAACAACTCGAGCAGTGCTTGTTGGAACAATCGATAAGGATTGTAGACATCCTGGCATGTTGGATCAATTTCAAATCAATACTGAAGATGTAATAAACATCTGTGCTGAAACACTGTATCGTAAAGGACTCTTAGAGGATGCAGTAACAATGTATGATCTGGCTGGCAACCACGAGAAAGTATTGACCTTGATGAACACTTTGTTGGCACAAGTAGTCAGTCAGAAGGGGATTCCAGGATCGTTAAGATCTCGTCTTCAAGCTGCAGCCTCGGATATTAGCGCAAGGTATGTTGTCAGAGTAATTCATGTTCATTGCTAATTACCTTAATTCATTGAGCGCTCAATTTCTGCTTCAATTGCATGCAAGAATATCTATTTAGTTAGTAATAGATCTTTAAGTTAATTTATTAAAATTAGTACAAATTATCTTTCACAAAATTTCAATAATGTTGTGACTATGTATATATTTCAGTCAGCATTTAATTTTAGTGTAATATAAATTTATGTTAAGGGAAAATCTAGGTTAGACGTTTGAAAAAATCGGTATTTTTATTATATTTTATAATAATTTAAATTTGCGAAAATGTATCTGCAATGGCATTTTTTCCACTTTAAAAAAATAATTTAGGTGTAAATATGTGCAGAGAACAGTGCTCCGTATTTACAAGGGAAAGTTTGGTTTATAGGTCCCAAAAAGTGTTATTTCATATACATGTTGTGTATAAATATACAGGGTGTTACAAAAGTCTAAAAACGAAACATTTTTGAGAAAAAAAGTTTCAGACCAAAGTGTTCAGGTGTTACGTGGCGGCCGAGGGGTAGCGAGACCGGGGAATTCAGGTATTTCTTTTAGGAAATTTTACCTCGAACACCTACGGAACGATTTTAAATATTGAATTCAGGGAGATGGTCCGAGCTGCTACCCCAAGTTCTCTGGTGGGAATTGCGAGGGGTGAGGAGCTGAAGAGTGTTTCAATGAAAGGAGATCGTTATTACAACAACAGGGTAATTGTATTTTGGTCTTCTATCAAGAGGGGTTTTACAGTCGTGGGGAACCGTCGGGGCCCCTTGGTCTAATTTTCTCGTTTTGTGTCATTTCCGCGTTGCAGCGGTTCGGATGTCGCGATAAGGCGGTTAGTGGCAGTAAGTCACTGGACGCTAGAAACGCTAACGCGAGGATTCAAGCTATTGGAATCGCGACCTACGCGTGAGTTCAATAAATGTCAAGTGCTGAAATTGGAATCTCGGCTATCAACGAGAGTACAAAAAGTATATTATCTATCCAGTTTACTCAGAGCTAGGCATGGAATTTGTGGATATAATTACTGTCTAATCGGAATCAGAGGTGAAATTAAGGTGAAAAATGAGAGTGATCCGAGCTTGCGAAAAGGCCAGTACCTCGCTTGATCACTGGCCAAGTTCGGTGATGTCCTCCTTAGATCGACCAGCCGGATGACTATGCGTAAACACTTCCCGTCCGTGACGTGCCCTAGGGTTGGAGGTCCTCTAAAAGTCTTCCATCCAACGGATGTTGTGGTCCCATTGGACCTTGAGTGAAGGGGTCACGGTGACATTAAGGTCATCAGGATTTTTTCTAACAAGGTGATGGTGAGGTCTTTCCAAGAGACTGGTTAATGAGCTTATTCTGTTTAGTATTGCCTGAGTTATGAGCTTTAGAATTTACGGTGCCGCCAACATTTGTATTATCTAGGATGCACCGCGTGGAGGCTCCTGGGTCGGACTTAACACTCTTCTTTCCTCCCTCACCCGTTATCTGTCTATTTGACTGTCTGTACGCGCGTGTGTGTACATGTATGAAGTTGGCACCATCGAAACATCGCTGCACGCTGCCTCACCTTCAACTTGTACACCCTGGCTCGGTCTGCAATCCCCCCCGCCGCACGCGCGCGCGCGCGCAGACAAAGTCCTGAGTAATACCAATACTGGTGGTTTCGTAAATTCTAATGCTCATAACTCACGCAATACTCTTCAGAAATAGGTCGTCAACCAATATTTTGGAAAGGATTCACCATCAGTTTGAATACTGCGTGATAAATAGATGGGTATTTCCTTTAAAAAAAAATCATGTTGGCCTTAATGTCACCTTGACCCTTCCACTCAAGGTCAATGTATTGGGGGTATCAGGTATCCATAGAACTTTGGTTTGAAACTTTTTTTCAAGGTCAATGTATTGGAGGTATCAGGTATGACCTGCAACGCGTTTTCCTTTACCCAGGGCGCGCTGGCGATCGGGGTCCGCAGGTGGATCGCCTCTCCGCGAGATCGGCCGGAGGGAGTTCGCCCGACAGCCGCAGGGCCGTTTTTATTTGTATTAGGGCGCCAGGCGCGAGAAGCGCACCACGGCCCGCGGATTCCCGGCAAGGGCAAGGCCGACGTTGCGGGGCGAGAAACGGCCCCGATCACCGCCTACTCAGCCTCGTGGAAGTCCTTACGACTTTCCGCGGCACGCTAGAGGCGGGGTGTTCGAGGCCCCAACGTGAAGGGTACTGGGAGGACGGGTCGTAAAAAGAAAGGACACTATAACTAAATATTCGGTGAGACGGCACGGTAGTTCTTTATTCGCGCTCTCGCGATCACAATTCGGAGACACTACACACGATACGCAGGACATCGGACTTCTGGATCCCATCGGCACGCTATTTTGAGACGGGAACCTCATGGTTCCACGGTACGGGCGGCAACACCAGCCCTACAGGGCACAACGCCCGCTCGGACTCTGCTCGGTCCACGGCCCGCCAATTCCGGCTCCGGGAGCGACGAGTCCTATTCAAAAGCCGCGGGATCACGCTCACGGGACACACATATATCGCACGAGAATTCACCGCGACGTAATCACCGATTGTCTAATTACGATGTTTCCGGCGCACGCGGCCGAAACATGGGGGACGAGGGGTCGCGTGTCGAGGAGGATACAAGTTACCATTTATTAAAATTTGGAGCGGAAACGAATCTTTACTGAACCCCATCGTGGGTTTGCTCACCAAGTCAGTGGCAATCCAACCACGGGAGAAGAGCGATTATCGGTAGTACCGGCGACACTCGGAGTATCCTGGACAATGAGCTCCGCGGCTCGCCAGGACCTCCGAATTTCGGAAACCCCTCTCCCGTCCTTCCATCGAACGCCGTCAAGCTGCCAAGTGCCGTCAATTGACAGTACGCGCGTTAGATGTCCTGATGGGTACCGCGGCGCGATAATTGAGATCTCGATTTTTCCTCCTCGACTCGTACCGACCGTGGTAATGACCTGCAATATCAGACCCATATACGATACTTACTAAATAACAAATCTTATACTAACCAATTTTTACAACACATACTTACAATTCATGATTGCCCAAGATGGCCCCGAGTGTCGCCAACCGATACTAAAATTAAATAATGTCAAAATTCGTTACTCACCGCTACCGCCGCGCCCCTAATTGCGACGGCAGAATTTTGTCACGTCACAGACCATTCAATAGAACTTTGGTTTGAAACTTTTTTCTCAAAAATATTACATTTTCTAAATATTGGCCAATTCTCAAGGAAAATTCGACGCGTTAAAAACAATATCCATAAAAGATTCAAAACAATTGTCTCGAACGGACAGCTGCCACGACGATAGAATCGGTGTGGCCGGCTAGTTTACGGCGCATGTGCTAAGGCTCGAAAGGGGCGGAGTTAGACTGATGTGCTGGACTTCAAAAGAGCCCCACTTGCAAAATCCGGAACTGAACTCCGACTATCAAAAAGGTCGACAGGAAAAAAAGACTCACTCGACCACAGAAAAGAAACCAGTCATTGAATTAGAATGAAAAAATTTAATATAACATGAAGTGATCAAGCCGGAAACCAGTTGTGTTCAACAACAGTTCCCAAAAATGCGCGACCAAAGGTCAAAGGTGATTCAAATAATTGTTAGCAATAAAAAAATATAAAATTATTAGGGAAGCACGCGATTCGCAAACTTACAAGGAAACATTCCCAAGTGTCCCACCCCGATATCGATAATTTTTATATATGTTGTAGAACTCGAAAATCTAAGGGACACGTATTTTTTTTTTACGTGCTAAGATTGATATCTAGGGGGTGAAACAACCCTTCAAACGTTGATGAAAAAATCAGGGAGACATAAGACCCGCAAGAGAGCAAGGGAGAACGCCGTTCCAGAAGGAACGAGGCCGTAGCCCGGGGTAGAAAGAGAGTCTTCATCGCCGGCGTGAAAATATTGACAAAAATTCGCTTATCGGGGAACCTACATCAAGACCCTCACAGCAGGGAGTGGATGGCCTGAGATCGGAGTTTGGAGAGTGGTAGTGGCATGATATCGTATCGGCCTTGCGGCCGACCGCACCTGGAGGGTGAGCCTCCCTATCGGTCCCCTCATTGCTGGGGGGTTACACTCCCTACCCCACCCGGCAACTCCACCGCCAAAGGGGCCCGAAGGCCCAGGACGGGCTGGAAAAACCCAAATGCTCCGGAACGATCGTTCAAACCCCGGGGAGGCGCTTGCCGGGACAGGGCCTCCGCCACGCACTCCCCGAAGGGAGGCCGCTTGACCCCACCCGTTGCCCGCGGGGAACCTCGAGGAGGTCCCTCCCCTGCACCCGCGTGGTGCGAGCATTCGTGCAAGGCGCCAGCTGAGACGTAATGCTCCAGCGTGGTTTGGCGAGCTTTCCAGGCTAGGTCGGGTGGGAACCCGATCCATCGGCCGAGTTGACCCGGCAAATATAGGATCGGTTATCCCACCTATCGGCCCGTACTAGCTCGCCGGCCTTCTTATTACGGCCGGTAGGGCCGGCCCCCAACCCGCACCCGGATAAACCGAGGACACGGGACGGGTTACCCGGAGCACCTCCAGCCGTCCGGTCGAGAAGTATTCCCATGACGAGGGCCACCTTTCGCCGGTAACTCTAGGGGGAACAAGAGTGCGGTCAAACTCCGCAGAGCGAGCATCTCTCATGGTTCCCCAGTAGCCATTTGCCGTTTCGTTACGGATCCATAGGGATCCGCATCCAGCCCCACCACGAGGAGGTTTACGGATGGCTCTTGGGCGCGTGGGTGCCCCCACGTCGTTGCCTTTTGGAGGCCAGTGGTAGTGGCAGCACGAGGCCATTGTGACCCGTAGGAACAAACGAGAACGCCACGCCCCTCGAGCCCCTAGTCGGCGGCCAAGCCGTGCTGGCCACGCCAACGCGAAAGCGATATCTGGTCAGGGTCCGAAACCCGGACACATAAGTCTGTCCCATGTTATTCTATGGATTGCGCATCAAATAGGCTATCTC